TTCAAGCCGCCCTTGAAGCTTTCAGTTCTCGAAAAGCAAGTCCTTCCATCTCCGCTATGTTTGTCACTAGTATCAGAGGGCTAGTCACAGGCGGGAGACAGCAAGTGAGACTGACAATTTATTCTCCCAAGATAAAAGACAAGGGAAGGGAGACGTGCAGTGTCCGTAGCCTCCTTGCTCAGGAGGTCGTGCGTTCCCGGCCTCAATACGCTGCAATTTCGCTGGGACTTTGCGTCTCTGATGCGCTACTATTCCGGTATGCGCGCGGGTGACGATGTATGCAGCAGTTTGTCCCATGCTAACACAGGACCCAACCCGTGACACCTGATCCATATCAACAACCTGGCTGCCAGGTTCAATATCGTGAAGATAATCCCCTACGCAGAGTCTCAACGAGAAGGTGTTTTTAGGCCCCAAGAGCCATAGTTCCAAAAAGCCAACCCTCGCATCAGTTTTGGGACCCGTCAGGGTAGCCAAGCTATCCATTGTCTCCGATAATCTGCACAGATGACACACGAGAAAATGGCCACTATGCCCATGTCAAGGCCAGACCTGCCTCATGTACCTAGCGACTTGAACCCACGTACACCACTCAATTAAAATGTACGATAGGGGCCTCGAAGTCCTTTTACAACTGACCACAGTTGCCTGGGTAATTTCTAAGGCGCTGCTCAGCTATTAAGCTGGAAGGATCAAGCCTGCAGATGAGGACTTCCGATACGTCCTTGCCAGGTTCGAGTTCGACTCGTATGCTGCCGAAATGAAAGACAAATGCTAAATCTAGTTCGTGGTATATAACCAGGGTACAAAAGCTGCAGACACCAGAGAGGGGATCGAACTAGCTGTGAGGGGGATATTCCGATAGAGGAATCAGTCAAATCTCAAGATGTTCCCTACACCATCCTGCGCTCTGCACAAGGTCTTCGGCAGGACAGAGACGACACTACTCCTGCCGAAGAAATATACAGACAAGCTAAACATCCAGCTCCAACAAGACGAGCCCAATGCTCTCGAGACTACGGCAACAGCCCGCTCTCTTGCAAAAGGGCCGAAAACTCCTCCACAGACGCTTCGGTCAACACAATGACATTGACCGCAAACTCCGTCGCATTAAGCGACGTAACCGTGCACATTCCCGCCCTGAGCATCTCGCCCACCCGCACGAGGTACTCGGTCGCCTTGTGCCTGCTCACCGCGCCCATGGCGACGAGCTGATCGGGGCGGCGGACGGGGGCGCGGTTCTGCCAGTACACGGACGTCGAGGGCGGGCCTCCGTGGACGAGGCCGGTGTGCGTCTTGATTTCGTTGGCGGTGAGGTCGTGGTACTTGCCGTCGACGATGGGGTGGCCGTCGCATGTCCAGCTTTGGCTTGGGTAGCAGGTGTGCTGAGGCGCTCCGCGTGGTACATCGCCAAGGGGTTGGGTGTCGTTGGTACCCATGGCGGACGTGTGGAATCTGGGGCAAGTCGACTTGATTTTTTACAGTTTGTGTAAAAAGGGCCGAAGCCAACGTCCAACCAGGATACATAGGTTGGGGAATGGCTCAATAATGAGCGACGTGATGCCTGAGTAGCTTTCTAAGAATCCCTCCACAACATGACCAGCTGTCTCGCGGAGTAGATAGCAATCTTGGCAGGCCGTTGGCTCGAGGATTATGAGGCTTAGCCAACTGAAAGTGCAATGCCGCATGGTTTAAGCCCCTCTTGAACCGAAAGAGGAGGACGAAGAATATTTGTTGGCGTGTAGATGCTTGGCACAGTCCTCGGTCAACATGATTGCTGTAGGAAAAGAGCGGGAGAAATCGTCTTGGATGTCGTTGGAACTTCTAGTCTTAGCTGCTGCAACGCTGCATTCGTGCTACATGCCATTTATCACCAAGGGACGGGGGACTGGAGGTAAATTTCGAGTATCAACTGGACTGGCTTTCGCTGCTCGGGCAAGTGACATCTAAGGAGCCAGCTGACGGGCTCTTTGCGACAGAAGAAATCGTTGCTCATGGTCGGGCATTCAGTGCAGAAGGATCGAAGAACGGACACATGAAAAAACCATCACTCTGCAAGTAAACCTTATGATACGAGTGATCATTGTCTACCTAGTGTTGACCTCATGGCGAACCATTGGAGCTCTAGTCTGTCTAACTTCCCTCCGCAGGCCAACCTCTCCCCCCCCCCCACAACCCCTACTTCACCCTTGCCTTCCTCCAAGCCATATCCAAACATGACAAAATGGCATCATACGCTTCCCTATTCCATCTCAGCCAGCCAGCACCAGGCAGGTCTCTCCTGATCACCGAATACACATTAAGCACTAGGCTTGCGCGATCCAGTTCTGAAAGTCAAAAGGAATCCATCCAGGCAGAGCGGAAGACTCCGCGGTACGAAAAAAAAGTAAGAAAGAGAAGAGGATGAATGAGAGAGAAGAAGCAGCCGCCACGAGGTGGGGCCGGCAAAGAATATACCAGAGAAAGAATCGTGAGTGAGAGAGTGTCGGGAATAGTATAATATGTCGTTGTTCCTATGTCGTAGGATTCGTCGTCAAGAGTCCCAGGCGAATGCTGGAATGGTCTCTTCGGTGCTGAAAACGCCTGCCCCTTGTGCTGTCCAGAATGCACGCACCACCCTTTTTATAGCCAGACCACCGAAACCGCCGTCCCCCGCATAGCGAAGGATTTTATGTACGGGCGCGAAGCGCTCTACACGATTAGGATCGTGTTTAATACGCCTGACCTGGTACTGGCTTGCGGCCGACAGGGCCCGTCGGAGGACCTTGGGACATGTGCGAATCGCGCGGCGGGGAGTTGGGGTTCATGCGAGAAGGATGGGGGATCCTGTTGGCACCGGCAGGACTTTGCGACCTGCTACCGGGAGGGCCTTGGAAACGAGGCCCGGGTGACTGGGAGCGAGGTCCGGGGCTCATGCCGCGTGGACCTGCGGGGCTCATCGGGCGCCCATCCGGAAAGCCAGGTCCGCCGGGAGGCCCCCTGGGGGCGGGGAACCCCGGGAGGCCCGGCCTTTGAGGGGTCGTGCCCCTCTGGAAAGG